ACCTGACAGTATTTAACTGGACCATGAACTGGTGGTGGGTTTTAATGGTCTGATAATACTGTGGTAATATAAACATGGTTCTGTTGCTTTCATCACCAAAGGCAACTCTCAATCCTTGTTGCATAACTCTTCAAACACCACCACACGCTGCCTTTTGACTGACGACTGCTTTCAGAAGTTACTCGAAACTGGTATCTGAGGAGTCTTAGCGGTTTCTTAGAGACCAGCAGTAGGCCATTCGGCCCTTCGAGCATGCTTTGCCATTCAATCTGATCATGACTCATTTCTCAATGCCATATTCCCACTTTCTCTCCTCAGCTGTTGATGCCTTTAAAATCTTGATATAACATATTCAGTGACTTATCTATGATGGCCTTCTGCAATAGAGACTTCCACAGGTTTGTTACCCTTTGAATGAAGAAATGTTTCCTCCTCCCAGTCCTAGCTGGTCTACTGTGTAGCCTGAGACTGTGTCCCTGAATCTGGACTCCCCAGACGGGGAAAACATCCTCCCTGTGTCTGGAGTGTCCATCCTGTTAGAATTTTGTTTATTTCCCTCTCCTGCTGAAGTAAGCTGTTTGGCTGTCTGAATCCCTTACAGATAAAATAATTTGCTTAAAAAATTTTGGAACCAACATAGGCCATGATGACAGTGAAACTGCTAATTGTGTTCCAAAGAGCGTCAATTGAAATGATGTTCAAATTGGTAGCTTTGACCTGTGAGATGTGATTAAGCTGCTGCCTCCTCTTTCACTCTCCTCTCCAGCTTTGGGATTAAGTACAATTGCAACGTTGTATATAGTTTTTCTATGAAGTCTCATTTAAGGAGATATGGATGATATTAAACTGTCTTATGTTATTTCTAGACTACAAATCCAGTCTGTTCGGTGTTCTCATTTCCCTGTCTTAATTCTTATTATGCTTGGCGCAGGACTTTTCAAAAAATTTCTTCTGTCTTTCAAGTAACATGCATGAATGTGTTGCTAATCTTCCTTGAAATCGACATGACACATGCAAGAATGCTTGAAATTTGGCAACCACAACCATTTATACTGCAGGAGAGAAGTATGCTGGTTGGTTGGCATAATAGTCAACTTGCTCACAAATCAACACTTTCTTTTCCTGTCCTATAAATTGTTGTAATCATTTGAAATTTGGTATTCTTGCACTTAGAGTCATAGAGATGTACAGCATGGAAATAGACCTTTCGGTCCAACTCATCCATGCGGGCCAGATATCCTAAATTATTCTAGTCCCATTTGCCAGCATTTGGCCCATATCCCTCTGAAGCCTTCCTGTTCCTGATGAGTGTCAGATGAAACATTCAAATTAGTCAACGTTCAAGTTCTGGACTGCAAAGAGATTTTTTTTTTTCTTTAACGCCATAACTCCTTCTCCAGCTGTTCCCAAATTCCCTTTTCCTTTCTCAAATAATCTTCACCCTTTCTATCCCCAATCCAATTTGCATTATTTTTCTTGAGCTATTGGAATTATTTTACTTCCCTTCCTTTTCCTCCCCATTGGTTTGTAGAGCAATATATCTCTATTTACACTATCCTATGATTTTTATTTAACTTTGCTGAAATGTGCAGCTCAAACCATGATAGGACTAAAAGGAAATGAAGGTATAGACTACAGTAGGAAAAAAAAAGGCAGAATCTTAATGCAGCGGAAATGGCAAAACAATATTGTAAGAAGACAAGGAGGGACGAGATTGAAAATTGATTGGAGCATAACGTAACATCTTTGTGTGTTACTGAAAGATTTCACAGGCTGATTAATGGAGAGATCAGGAAATCTTCAGCTGGAGACAGTGTGAGTGCCAAAGAAGAGGATTTGTGGGGTTGGGGGGGGGGGTTGGGGGGTGCGGTTAGAGATACCAGCTAGAATAAAGACAGAGCATCTGAATAGGGGTTAACTTCACTTCAGTGATGCATTAGCAGGTCCATATGGATTGAATCCTTGGTTGCTGAGGGCTGGCAGGTTGGGAATAATAGTACTTCTTGAATACATTCTTTAGATCCACACTGGATTTTTGTTTTGTTTTTAAGTTGATACCCAGGGCATGGAGTCACTAGCTGGACCAGCATTTATTGCCCGTCCTTAGTTGGCCTTGAGAAGATGGTGGTGAGCTGCTTTTTTGAACTGCTGCAGTCCACCTGCTGTAGGGAGACCTACAATGCCCTTAGGAAAGGAATTCCAAGATTTTTTTTTATCCAGCAACAATGAAGGAACGGCAATATATTTCCAAGTCAGGATGGTGAGTGGCTTGGAGGGGAACTTGCAGCTGGTAGTGCTCCCATGTATCTGCTGCCCTTGTCCCTCTAAATGGTAGAGGTCACAGGCTTAGATGTTGCCAACCAAAGATGAAATTCTGCAGTGCATCTTGTAAATAGTAGACACTGCTGCTATTGAGCGTCGGTGGACGCTTTGTCCTGGATGGTGTCCAGCTTCTTGAGTGTTGTTGGGACTGCACTCATCCAGGTAAGTGGGGAGTATTCCATCACACTCCTGACTTGTGCCTTGTAGATGGTGGACAGGTTTTGGGGAGTCAGGAGGGGAGTTACTCGCCACAGTATTTCTAGCCTCTGACCTGCTCTTGTAACTGCATGGGATTAGTGTCAAAGAATTGGAGGTTTGCAAATGTGACACTTTAGAACAGCAAAGTAAGAGAGGAACCTGATGCTGGGCTATGCAATATAGAACATAGAATAGTACAGCACAGTAACAGGTCCTTCAGCCCATCATGTCTGTGCTGACCGTGATGCCATTCTGAAGTAATCTCCCTGCACATGCTCTGTATTCCTGTATTTCTGCCTATTCATATGTCTGTCTAAATACTTCTTAAACATTGCTATTGTATCAGCTGCTACCACTTCCCCTGGTAGTACATTCCAGGCACTTATCACCCTCTATTTTAAAAAAAAAACTTTCCTCCCATATCCATCTTAAAACCATTCAATGCTTTGGCCTCAACCACTTTCAATGACCGAGAATTCCACAGATTCACCAATATCTGGGTGAAGACGTTTCTCCTCATCTCAGTCCTACATGGCCTACACCATATCCTTAAACTTTCCTTAAATGCTGTGGTAGGGGACTAATCGCGCAGCTCTTGAGAGTTTGGTGCAAACAGCTGGCTATATGCTACAAGATCCTACAATGGGGAGTAGTATTCTGTGTGATTTGGAGTGAATCGCAGCCTGTCCTCGGCCTATAATTAGGAGCAGGATTTTTTCTCTCCAATCCCTTCAAATCTTTCCCTACACTCCCACCTCTTCCAGTGGCTCAGTCATTGCCAAAATCTCTGGCCCAGACTCTGCTGGCAGCTGCAGCTGACCTCTCTCCATTTGAAGATATAAAATGATTCTTTTGTTCCTGTGCTGTATCTTAATTCCTATGAGCCACTCTTTGGTAGCTAGAACTACTTTAGAGCGAAAGATAGAATAGAATTGTAGGGTGCAGAAAGAGGCCATTCAGTCCATCAGATCTGCACTGACCATCCAAACAGCATCCCACCCTAACCTGTAGCATTTCCCATGGCTAATACATCTAGCCTGCATATCCCTGGCTAATCCACCTAACCTGCCCATCCTTATTTAGCCCAATAAACCCCTATCTCCACAACCTTTCAACTTGGAAGTGACAGTGTGGTCTTAATCTATCAGTAGAATTAATTAACTCTCGAGTTGCCACCTTGTTCTTACAAACTACTCGTCAGGAGAGAGCGGAAAATGTTATTTCAGTCGTGACAGCAACATAAAACTAGACGTAGAATTCGGCCATTGGGCCCATCCAGTCTGCTCTGCTATTTGATCGTGGCCGATAGGTTTCTCAGCCCCATTCTCCTGCTTTCTCCCTGTAACCCTCGATCCCCTCGCTAATCAAAAACCTCTCTATGTCTGTCTTAAATACACGCAATGACTTGGCCTCCACAGCCCTCTGTGGTAATGACTTCCACACATTCACCACCCTCAGAACTTCCTGTAGCTGTAGTGTCTCATACGCTGTTACTTAGGGAACAGCCTTCAAACAGGAATTGCTTGCAAGCTCCTCCAATTTTCAAAATGGCTGGGGTAGCTGGAACATTATCCCCTACCCCGGGGCTGTGCCCAGTACAGGGTGCTGAATTGTGGAGTTAGGATCAGATAGAGAGAATGACTGAGACTGGGACATATGCACTTGCAAAGATCAAATGGCCTGTATCTTTACTGTACACACTGTGTAATGGAGTAGCTGCTTGTATGTAGTTTGCCAAGTCCCTTTGTAAACCAGTGTTCTTTTTCTCATTGAGGGCCAGCTCACTGTTTCTCCTCACTGCTGTTTACTGTGATGTGTCATAGTGACGGTGTGCAGCTTTTGTTTATAGCTGCACACTCTTCACTCCCTTTCCAAGCTTCAGTTTTCAGATGGTGCCACAAAGTAGTGGAAGAAGAAGGGTTTACAGCTAATAAATTGCAAGTGTTACACAGGAAGCATATTTTCACAAAATGGAAGTAATTTGGCTCACATGCAACGTTCTCGCTTGCTCGGTCTTTCTTTCGAATGTACCGTTGCTTTCCCAGAAGTTAATACACGTGGCTTACTCAGAAAAGTGAGCAGAACTTCAGCTCCTCAACAGTCCCCAAGATCTCAACTCCAACATAATAAAACCCCAACGATGATATTTTGTTGAAAATCATCAAAAGTGGGTATCCCTGCCAATCTTTGTACCAGTATAATCCTGACGTTCCGTGAGATGAATATATTTTCCCTTCTTTGCCAGACAGATCATGAACTAGTCTCCTGCGGCTGTGTAATGTAATTTTACTTGGTGCTTTAAGGTTCACAAAACTCAATGTGAAAGTCTGACCAGATTATTAGTCAAGAAACTGATTATTGCTAGCAAAGTTGAGCCCACCATGGAGAGAACTGTAACTCTTGTCCCTTCTCTTCCCCTCCCCTATCCCCGATTTTTATTTTTTATTGCCCCCCCCAACCCAACCCCCCAAAATATGCAGGTATCTCAAGCAGCTGCAGATCTGAAGCAATTCTGTCTGCACAATGCCCAGCAGGATCCATTACTGACGGGAATCCATCCAAACACCAATCCATTCCGACCAGCCAAACCCTGTTTGCTGTTGTAGCTAAAACGGGATTCTACTTTCTTTTGGTGAGTAAACCTGTGATTCTTCGAAAGTGTAAATATTCAAGTGTTGTTGGTATTTTTAAATATATGTTTTTAATTCATTCACTGGATGAAGGCATCTCTGGCTAGCCCAGCATTTATTGCCTTTCCCTAAATTCCCAGAGGGCAGTTGTGAGTCAACCACATTGCTGTGGGTCTGCAGTCACATGTGGGCCAGACCAGGTAAGGATGGCAGATTTCCTTCCCTAAAGGACATTAGTGAACCAGATGGGTTTTTCCCAAAAATCAACAATGGTTTCATGGTCATCAGTAAATTCTTTAATTCCAGATTTTTAAAATTGAATTCAAGTTCCACCATCTGCTGAGGCAGGATTTGAACCTCAGAACATTTGCTGAGTTTCTAGATTAGTCTAGTGATTAATACCACTAAGGTTTTGGAGTAGATCTGTAGCTCGGGTTGTGGATGTTGAGGTTGGTTGGCTCACCGAGCTGGTTTGTTGTTTCACAGACGCTTCGTTACCGTGCTTGGTGACATCCTCAGTGCAGCCTCTGATGAAGCATCGGTGTGTTTTCCCGCCTGGTTTTTAAACTCTGGGGTCCTGGTACATCATGGTAGAGCGCAAGACAAATGGGGAACTGCAAACGAAAGTACACCGAAAAGCCACACACACAGACCAGGAATTGAACTTCAATAGTAACCATCCTTGCACACACAAACAAAGCTGCGTGCGAACGCTATTTAAAAGGGCAACAACACACTGCAGCAACATGGAACTATGCCAAGAGGAGGAGGAATACCTCTTCCAAATGTTCAAGGATAATGGATATCCAAAGAACTGGGTCAGGAGATGCCTACAGGAACAGCATCAGAAAGATTCTACACGCCCCGACACACTCATCACACTACCCTACATCAGGAACACGTCAGAACTCAGCACAAGACTCCTACGACTGCTGGGCATCAGAGTGGCACACAAGCCTACATCAACCCTACGACAAGTGCTCACCCAAACTAAAGACCCACTCCCCGCCATGGACAGGACCAATATCATCTACAAGATCCCCTGCAGAGACTGCGAGAAACACTACATCAGACAAACAGGAAGGAAACTAACAACCAGAGTACATGAACACCAACTGGCTACAAAAAGACACGACCAATACTCACTCATCTCAATCCACATGGACAAGGAGAACCACGACTTCGACTGGGACAACACCAAGATCCTGGGACAGGCTAGGCAGAGACAAGCACAAGAATTCCTGGAAGCATGGCACTCCATGAAGCATGCTATTAATAAACACATTGAACTCGACCCCATATACATTCCACTACGGAGGAAACCCGGAAGTGAGGCAATCCATCGCAACGGACCCCAGAGTTTAAAAACCAGGTGGGAAAACACACCGATGCTTCATCAGAGGCTGCACTGAGGATGTCACCAAGCATGGTAACGAAACGTCTGTGGAACAACAAACCAGCTCGGTGAGCCAACCAACCTCAACAATTAATACCACTATCCCATTGCCTCCCTTAAATAAAAGTGCTTTTAAATACTGATGTTTCAGTCCAGGTCTGAGGATCTATGTTTAGCCAGAGTTAGTTAACACAATTACAATATAGAGCTAGAGAACACCAGCGAGGGACATTGTTAATTGTTTAACATTTAAACATTTGACCAGAAAAACTGCTGCACATATAACCTAGTAATGGGGCTACAAGGACAACAGGAAATCCTAAACGTTAGCGAATAATGTGAACAATGGATTTAGATATAAATAGAAGAAGACTGAAAAGGGGGGTGATTTTAAAGTGGTTGAGGTCAAAATATTGAAGAGGCAGATGAGATGTCCTTGTGCTATCATCACTTGACTATTCATCCAGACTCCCAGTGAATATTCTAGGGACCTTATTGCAGGTGACACTAAAATTGGGGGTGCAGTGGACAGCGAAGAACGTTACCTTTAGAGTGCAGCAGGACCTTGATCAGATGGGCCAATGGGCCGAGGAGTGGCAGATGGAGTTTAATTTAGATAAATGTGATGGGCTGCATTTTGGAAAGGCAAATCCGGGCAGGGCTTATACACTTAATGGTAAGGTCCTGGGAAGTGTTGCTGAGCAAAGAGACTTTGGAGTGCAGGTTCATAGTTCTTTGGATGTAGAGTCGCTGGTAGATAGAATAGTGAAGAAGGCGTTTGGTATGCTTGTCTTTATTGGTCAGTGCCTTGAGTATAGGAGTTAGGAGGGTCATGTGGCTGTACAGGACATTGGTTAGGACATTTGTAGCATTGCCTGCAATTCTGGTCTCCCTCTTATAGGAAAGATGTTGTGAAACTAGAAAGCGTTCAGAAAAGATTTATGAGAATGTTGACAGCGTTGGAGGGTTTGAACTATAGGGAGAGGCTGAATAGGCTGGGATTATTTTCCCTGGAGGAGAAGGCTGAGGAATGACCTTATAGAAGTTTATACCATCATGAGGGCCATGGAAATGGTAAATAGGCAAGGTCTTTTCCTTGGGGTGGGGAAATCCAAAACTAGAGGGCATAGATTTAAGGTGAGAGGGGAAAGATTTAAAAGGGACCTAAGGAGCAACTTTTTCATGCAGAAGGTGGTGCGTGTATGGAATGAGCTGCCAGAGGAAGTGGTGGAGGCTGGTACAATTACAACACATAAAAGCATCTGGATGGGTATATGAATAGGAAGGGTTTAGAGGGATATAGGCCAAATGTTGGCAAATGGGACTAGATTAGTTTCAGATATCTGGTCAGCACGGTTGGGTCGGACCAAAGGGTCTGATTCCATCTGATTGTATGACCGGAGTTCAAATCCCGCAGTGTGTGTGGTAAATGGTGGAATTTGAAATCTGGAATTCAGAGTCAAATGTTGACCGATGTTAATGTTGGTGAAAATCCCATCTGCTTCACTAATGCCCTTTCAGGAACAAAATCTGCCATCCTTACCTGGTCTGCACTACATGTGACTCAAGACCCACAGCAATGTGGTTGACTCTCAACTGCCCTCTGGGCAATTAGGAATAGACAATAAATTCTGGCCCAGCCAGTGATACCCTCATCCTGTGAATGAAATGAAGAAAAAGCACGTGTGAGGAACTTGTGGTATTTTATTGCTTTATTGCCATCAATGCTTTGTGCCTGCCCAGTGGGGTTTTTTGGGGGGATGTGGGCATCATTTATTGCCCATGGAGTCATAAAGTTATACAACACAGAAACAGACCCTTCGTTTTAACTTGTCCATGCTGTCTAGATATCCTAAATTAATCTAGTCCTGTCTGCCAGCATTTGGCCCATATTCCTCTAAGCTCTTCTTATTCATATACCCATCCAGATGCCTTTTAAATGTTGTAATTGTACCAGCCTCCACCACTTCCTCTGGCAGCTCATTCCATACACGCACCACCCTCTGCATGAAAAAGGTGCCCCTCAAATCCCCTTTAAACTTTCTCCTCTGATCTTAAACCTATGCCCTCTAGTTTCGGACTCCCCTACCCTGGGGAAAAACACTTTGTCTATTCACCCTATCCACGCCCCTCATGATTTTATAAACCTCTGACGCTCCAGGGAAAACAGCCCCAGCCTATTCAGCCTCTCCCTATTGCTCAAACCCCCAAACCCTGGCAACATCCTTGTGAATCTTTCCTGAACCCTTTCAAGTTTCAAAACATCCTTCCTAAAGCAGGGAGACCAGAGTTGAGAGCAGTATTCCAAAAGTGGCCTAACCAATGTCCTGTATGGCCTCAACATGACCTCCCAACCCCTGTACTCAATGCATTGCCCGTCAGAGAAGATGGTGGTAGTGAACGCTGTCCTTGAATACCATGGAGTATACAATGTTCAATTCAAAGGCCAGTTACAAGTCAATTACATTGCTGTGTGGAGCGAGTGATAAGACTGGTATGTTAAATGTGGCAGATTACCTTCCCATCAGACAAGAGTCATCTAGATGGGTTTTCACTGCACTCGGTAGATTCGCTACACAATTTTTTATTCCAGAGTTATTTAAGTGAGTGAATTTCAGTTCTCTAGCTGGGCTGGTGGGATGTGACTCCCATCTGTGGATCGCATTTTTGTAACATCTCACCTCTAGAAAACGTAGACTTTAGTAGCAGGAATAGGCCATTCAGGAAGGAGTGGTGAAAGTGGGATTATGTCTAAATATGTCAGTTGTCACAGAAGGATGGGGGAATTTATATTTCCACAGTTAGACATAAATGTAATTTACGCTCCCACTAAAATAAGTTACGGGAATTGAAACAAATAAAAGCAGAATATAGCAGCCATTGTAAATCTGAAATAAAATCCAAAAGTGCTGGTGAAACTCAGCAGATCTGGCAGTGCCTGTGGGTAGAAGGCAGAATGAATGTTTCCAGTCTGGTATGACGCTTTGGTTAGCTCAGTTGGCTGGATGGTTGGTTTGTGATACAGACTGATGCTCACAGTGTGGGTTTTATTCCTGCACAAGTTGAGGTTACCATGAGGATCCCACCTTCACAGCCTCTACAGCCCCCTGAGGTGTGGTGACCCTGAGGTTAAACACTCACCAGTTGTCTCTCTCGCTCTCCTCTCTAGAAAGGAGCTGGAAAATAGTGTTTTTGTTTAATGCTGTTGACAGATGTTGGGGGAGGGGGATGGTGGGCAGGAGTGAGTAGAACAATAGTGACAGTGTGCCCATGACACACAAACACAGGGAATGTTCATGGTGGTAAAGGAGAGCGCGCGATGTAAAATGAAGGTGAAAAAGGGACAAAATGTGTCTTCACTGCTGAGTGCAAAGTCAACATGACACGGCCAGTGAGGGTAGGGATGTAAGAAAAGATTGAATTTCAGGAATTGTTTTTAGGGGGTGCAGTGCAGAGAGAAGTTCCTTTAGGAATGAAAATGTAGCCTTGCTGAGGGTCCGCACTGGCCAGTTGGTTTCCATTATGCCTGCTATTGTTGGAACTTTACCCGTCCTGTATCCTCTTGAGATGCCTCTGTTTTGAGGCAGTGTTGCAGATATAGCTTACTGTAAATTAATCATTGGTCCTTGTTTTTGCAGGTTTCTGGGTCATACGTGGGAAATTCACCCTTTGGTGCATGTTCAGAAAAATAATGAAGATGTTTACACTAATCTTGATTCTCAGTGGCCTTTGAACCATTGGACGAGCCATGTTGGAGCTGTTTTTAAAAGCCTCTTGAAATCTGTGCCAACTTTCCTTACTTTCACTTTGTAAATTGCCTGTTCTTTGATACTGATCTCCACCTACCTCATTGAAGCAATGAGGTGCTGTACGTACAGTTTTAGTTGCTGCTTCTGCACAGGCCTATTTCTAGAGAGATTTGTACTTGTCCATTGTTTAGAGGAAAATTTCAATAAAGATCTGAAGTGATTTATGTATTTTGTAAAGTTAAATGCATTGTGAAAGTTTACTGTATCTAATAATGTGCTCTAATGCTTATAACTTTCTACACCACTCCCAAAATTAATCTGGAATCATTAAAATGAGGCTGAACATTTTGAGGCATCTATCCAGTTAAATTGATACCTTTTTGACTTTTTGCTGTTTAGCCAGACGTCATTATTGGGCACTGAGGAACTGGTTTCAAGTGTCTGCTCCAGATCTTCAGCACTGCACTGGGGTGGAATGGTGGCTCAGTCGTTAGCACTGCTGCCTCACAGCGGCAGGGACCTGGGTTCGATTCCACCCTCAGCCGACTGTCTGTGTGGAGTTTGCACATTCTCCTCGTGTCTGCGTGGGTTTCCTCCAGGTGCTCCAGTTTCCTCCCACAGTCCAAAGATGTGCAGGTTATGGTGGATTGTCCATGTTAAATTGCCCATAGTGTCCAGGGATGTACAGGCTAGGTGGGTTAGCTGTGGGGAAATTCTGGGATAAGGTAGGAGATGGGTCTGGGTGGGATGCTCTTCAGAGGGTCAGTGTGAACCAAATGGGCTGAATGGCCTGCTTCTACACTGTAGGGATTCTATGGGAGAGTCGGGGTCAATCAGCAGAGTTGGCCGAATGGCTACTTTCCGACACAAAGTAACCCCAACACCACTACCAGCTGAGGTTACCATGAAGGGCCCACCTTCTCAACCTCTCCCCTCACCTGAGGCGTGGTGACCCCCTGTTTAAGCCACCACCTCTGTAATGTGAAAGCAGCCCTACCTTCACTGAGAGAGTGCTGCACTATTGCAAGCGCTGTCTTTTTGATGAGATTTTACACCTCAGATGGATTTAGAATGTACCATGGCACTATTTTTGAAGCAAAACACAGGAATTATCCATCACCTCCCAAACTGTATTTGTTCTTCAATCAATATTACAAAGCAGATGACCTGGTCATTATCACATTGCTGTGTGTGTGCGTGTGGGAGCCTGTTACCATGTTGGCTGCTGCATTTCCTCCCACAATGACTACACTCCAAGTGTATTTCTGGGCAGGAAAGCACTTTGAGATGGCTGATGGCTGTGAAAAAGAGTGCTACATAAGTGCTAGAGATAGTAGGAACTGCCGATGCTGGAGAATCTGAGATAACAAGGTGTAGAGCTGGATGAACACAGTAGGCCAAGCAGCATCAGAGGAGCAGGAAAGCTGACGTTTCGGGTCTGGACCCTTCAGCTTTCCTGCTCCTCTGATGCTGCTTGGCCTGCTGTATTCATCCAGCTCTACACCTTGTTATCTCTCTTTACCCTATATAAATGCTAGTCTGCCTAATGTTGTAATGCCATTGACGTTAATCAACATTCTTTGCAACTGAGACCTAGGAAAAGTTAACAAGGCTTATATGGTCTGTTTTGAAATACTTCACCTGCAGAGGATTATAGTTGTAAAGGTGAATGAATATGAGCTCGCCAAAGTGAGGGCTATTTCCTATATATTGTCAGCAAAGTGTTAAGATTTTGATTTAAACCAAGGGCCATGAGATAGTGAAAAGAAAATCAAGCATTGCAGTGATTTTACAGAAAATAAAAGCTTGTTTGAAATGATGCGGAAACAGAACTGGTATTAGGTTTTATTTTCACGTGTGGTCAAATACAGATACAGGAGTACAGCGAAAACTTTACAAAGTCACCGTTTCCAGTGCCATCTTAGGTACAAAGGTGTCTGGGTACAAAATCTTAGGTATAAATTAGAAAAATAAAGTAATAAAGTTAGAAGTTCAGCATTACTGTCATTCTAAAGCAGAAAGAGAGAGAAAAATAGCATGTGAGGCAGACGGGTCCACGCTGGGGACCTCACCCCAAGGCCGGGGGTCCGCTCTGGGGGCCAACCCGGCCCCCCGAGGCCGGGTGTCTGCGCTGGGGGCCCCACCTTGAGGTAATGGAGTAATTGTTAAAGAAAATGGCTTAAATTAAGGTTTGGTAATTACAGTAACGAGTATTTTCCTTCAGGCTCTGACTTTGGGCATATCACGAGCAATAGGGATGCAATCGTATGAAGTTTGCAGATGTGAAAGGGTGATATTGGCAGGCAGCAAGTTGATCGTAATAACAGCTGCAAGTCAATGTGGGAAAGTAGTGTTTGTGGGCAGGGGAGGTAAATATAAAAGGCAATATTGTTCATACTTCAAAAATAGAAGAGCTGGAAAGAAACGATCAGTGGTTCTGGGGAAGTTGAATCGAGCTGTGAAATAGTGCCTTTGCTTAGAAATAGTTACTTCTCTTATCACAAAAAGTGGAGTTGAGGGTCATTGGATCAGCCATGATCTCGTTGCATGGCAGAGCAGGCATGATGGGCTGAGTGGCCTCCTTCTGTTCCTACAACTTGTGGTTTGAACTATAAATAAAGGATGCAACAAGTGGGCAAGAACATAGTGGAATGTTAGTCCTGAAAGGAGGGCAGGCTTGGAGACTCTTAATACTTCAATGTCACAAAACATCAGTGTAATTGAGGGTTTTTAAGGTAATGGATTGGTATTAGCTTTTAGCTATTGAGCTGAACTGCAATGGGTGATGTTTATAAAATCACTCAGTGCAACATGATGTGTTCCTCTGAAAGGTGGCTTGTCGTGTTGAGATTTCTGCAGCTTTTGCTGCAATTTGTTAGCTTTCTTTACCCTCTGAAAGGGTCAGTGTTGGAATCTGCCATCCTCCGTGCTTTCTAGCCACAAGAAGAGAATGTGTTCAGTCCCTTCTCATGATCCTTAAGATTCTTCTTGTGCTTGGATCGTTGATCAGTTCCTCCAGATATCCCAGTGTCATGCCAGCTCCTGCTTCCAAACCATCACCAGCAGTATCTCCTGCCCCCTGTATCTCCTGCTCACACGCCACTCTGTATCTGCCCTCTGTCTCTCCTGCCCCCCCACTCTGTATTTCCTGCCCCCATATCCTCTCCACCCTCTGTTTCCTCTGCCCCCTGTATCCTCTCCACCCTCTGTTTCCTCTGCCCCCTGTATCCTCTCCACCCTCTGTATCCCTTGTCCCCATACCTCCTTTCCCTGTATCCTCTCTGCCCTCTGTATTCCCTGTGCTTCTCCCCACCAACTCTGAGCCTTCAAGCTTGTTCTGAAGATAAAGCTGAGCATTGCTGCTCCAGTATCACAGAATTACCTGAGCAACAGTTCAGGATGTTTGGAAAGGCAGGGGCGTGAACACAAATGTTGATTTGCCCTGTTTGTAACTTCGCCTCCTGCATTGCCAATTTGCTGCCACCACAAGCCTGTGTTTCTTGAGGTGAGCGAGTATACACAGAACTGAATTCAATCTTGTCATTGCTTCCCTCCACTTCCTGTAGAACGTGAGGTCATATCAAACCACAAACCAATCCTTTGTAGATCAAAATCTTTCAATAAACTTTTGACACTGAAAATCAGTAGTTAATCTTTTGCAATCTCCAATTTACAAATGTCCGATTTACAAACACTGGTATGGACAAGTGTGATCCCATACATGGGTATAATCTTAAAGACCTGACATATGAACACTTTCTGTACTTACAAATGGCTATTTTGTATTTTCCTGGACTGTGTTCCAATTTGTATACAAATCCAGAATGGAACCCAGTCACAAACTAGGGACTGCCTGGACTGCACTCTCATTTTCAACTGAAATGGTGTTAAAGGGAGTGTAAAGCTAATTTATCTTCTGTAGAACAGTTGTGTGGGCCTGGATTGCTTTAGAAATGTTCAGTATTCAATCCAGCTGCTCCTTGAAAGTATTTGACGTTGATTGTTTGCTTGATTTCCCTTCTCACTGAGGAAAATGTTAATCTTTCAGTTCAGCTAACTTTTGTAAACATCAAGCACTCACATTTCAGAAATAAAAGTTCCCACTATTTTGCCTCCAAAAAGGAACTTATGTCAAGTGTTGTCATTTACTCACACCTACATATTTTCCTAATCACCCTGTTCAGAGATTGAATCTCACACACTGCATAGGGAGGTGATGACCTAGTGGTATTATTGCTGGACTGTTAATCCAGAGACCCAGATAACATTCTGGGGATGTGGGTTCGAATCCCGTCATAGCGGATGGTGGAATTTGAATTTGAATCTGGAATTAAGAATCTAACAATGACCGTGAATCCATTGTCAATTGTTGGAAAAACCCATCTGGTTCACTAATGTCCTTCAGGGAAGGAAACTGCCATCCTTACCCATCTGGTCTACCTATGACTCTTCAATTCCACTTTCCTGCCTTTTCCCCATAGCCCTTGATTCTCTCACTAATGAAAAATCTCCCCGTCTCAGCCTACATTCGAATAAGTTAATTTATCCAAAACTTTAATCCCTTTACACAAGTACATGTACATAGAGGCCTTTATTTTGGAGCAGGTTCTAAGGAAGAGTGTACAAATGTGAGAGAATAACATTTCTCAATGGAGACAATAACATGGATTGCAGTAACCAGCTCCTGCAGAATTTATTTTCAAAGATTCCAGTTGATTCGAGCTTTGGATAAAAATTGAGGACTGAAATCCAACAATGTGTAAATGAGGTGCCGCCAAGGAACCTGCATCACAGCTTTGATGAAAGTCTGACTCTACAAGTGGAACTTACCAACACAATCTCTCCAGTTCTCTACAATAAATGAAGTTCTCTCCACAAATTCACCAAACCTCAGAAGGAATTCCTCATCATCTGTGTCTTAAATATACAACCACTTATTCTGAGATTGTGTCCTCTTGTCCTAGCCTCTCCCATAAGGGGAAACAACCTCTCAGCGTTCACCACATCTAGTCCACTAAGACTATTGTATTTCAATAAGGTCGCCCCTCATTCTTCTTTATTCCAGTAAGTACAGGCCCAGCCCTATGAATTGTAGAACCCCTACAGTGTGGAAGCAGGCCACTCAGTCCATCGAGTCTACACTGACCGTCTGAAGGACATCCCACCCAGACCCACCCCCATAACCCTGCATTCCCCATGGCTAACGCACCTAGCCTGCAAATCCATGGACACTATGGGCAATTTAGCATGGCCAATCCCCCTAACCTGTGCATCTTTGGTCTGTGGGAGGGAACTGGAGCACCCAGAAGAAACCCATTGTGAGGCAGTAGTGCTGAGCCACAGTGGCCCCCCTCCCCCATAAGATAGTCCCGCCATACCTGGTAAATCTGGTCTGAACCCTCACCAGCTTAATAATATCCTTCCTATAACAGGTTGACCAGAACTGCAGACAGTACTCCAAGAGGACTCACCAAAGTCCTGTACAACCTCAACATGACATCCTAACTCCTATACTCAAAGGTCTGAGTAAGTACCAGAATCCCTAGGTCACTCTGTTCGAGACTACTCAAGGCCCTACTTTTCATTGTAAGTCCTGCCCTTGTTTGTTTTATCAAAATGCAATACCTCACATTTATCCAAACTAAACTCCATTTGCCACTCCTCAGCCATTGACCCAATTGATTAAGATCCCTTTGAATTCTTGCATAACCTTCTTCACTGCCCTGTATACCACCTGTTTTGGTGTAATCAGCAAACTTACTAGCTATGCCTTCTATATTCTCATTTAAATCATTTATATAAATAGATGCAAGCTCACTTGAAGGGCTGGTTACAGAGTAAAGCTGTTAGTTAAAAGTTAAAAATAAATATCCTCTGTTGGACTGTTTTGATTGATAAGCAATCTTATGAAGGTAACTATCTATCTGTTCCTGCAGTTTCAAATGATGTTTGTTGATATTTGCCAAGGGCTGTAATAACAGCTGAAGTCATAATGAAGTTTTTGCTCAGTTGCAAAAACTAAAAGAAACTCATTCATCTTAGTTCTGACTTCACACTTTGATTGACATTTTAAAGAGGCTATTAAAAGATTAGCTATCTGATGCAGTTATGGAATAAAATAAATGTTCATTTGTATTCCAGATTAAATACGAGGGTATTAAAAATCTTCAAATAGATTTCACAAATGGGAATTATTTTCCAGTGTCAAATCTGTATGGGTGAGACCTGTATTAGATTGTAAGAAGTTCACATTATTTTGTTTTCTCCATATGACTTTTGATATTTGTCCATGATCCCTAACAAGTGAGTGGGTTTGGTGTGGGTCGTAATTTGGGATGGAGGAATCTGAGACATGAGGTCAAGAGTACCCACTGGCTTCTAATCCATGACCAGCACTTCAGCAGTCGTCTGCTTTCAATCTGCACCCAGACCACAAGCTGGGTGTAACAAGACCTCAAGGCAGGGGTGGGCTTGCAAACTCAGGGAATTTCCTCACTTGAGCTACTCACCTGGGTAGAAAATAATTTGGCCCACAATCAAGGAATTTAAGAGATGTACAGAAAGGTTACAGCACCATCTTCGGCGCTCCTTTTGAAAGGCTGTGGCCAATTCTTTTGTGATCAAGTGTGGAATGAAAGTAAGATCATCAAGCCCACTTATTCCACACATTACAGTTTGCAGAACTCACTGTCTATGGGCGACAACCAAGTTCAGAATATCCTCCTGGAAGTTTGCTCTGTGAGCAACTTACAAATATACCTAAAAGCAACGTATCATCTGTTCTATTTCGTACATTGCAACAACGGATACACTTCAATAGGTTGTTTAAGAACAATGAGATCATGAAAGACTTATGACCTCCTCTGGTAGGTACCCCTCCACCCACCAGTTTTGAGGACGGCTTGCCTCCACTCTGGTTCAATGGGTATTATTTACCATCTCAATGCAAGATCTACAGTGCCACAAATAGGGCAGGTAGTGTTTGCAGGGCCAGGCCGACAAAAAAAACTGAAAGAACTCCGGATGCTGTAAATCAGGAAGTAAAACAGAAGTTTCTGGAAAAACTCAGTGGGTCTGGCAGCATCTGTGAAGAAAAGAATTCAGAGTTAATGTTTTCAGGTCTGGCGACTCTTCCTCAGAACAAGTAGACAAGTTGTTTGGGTGTTTGAGAGGGAGAAACAGTTGAATGGTAACTGGATTGCACGGATTCTTTTGCAGAACAGACTTAACAAACCGAATGACCTCACCTGATCCCATCCTAATCTATGATTTTACAACTGGTGTAAAATCTGTGCAGTATCGAAGAATCTGACTAAAAACAGGATTACATCTAATCCTTTTGTTGGTGTCAACTTTCTTTGATTGGATCCCATTTCACATCCATCAATGAAATCTTTAATTTTGACCTCTGACTTCATGTTTGCTTAATTTATCTATATCCAAATTATCCATGTCATATCACATGAAATAGCTTAACCTCACTAACCCACTCTCCAAACAGTAATTAAATACTGCAAATCACTCTGTAAAATATGATTCCCAAGATTATCTGAAATACTATTTGAAATTTCTCCTGTGAAATATCCTTTGGAAGTTGATGGATCTTCGGAATAAAGGACTTTGTAAATTTGGTGGTGTCTTGACAGGGTTAAAGTGTGCGATATTAAACAAATGCATATTGACCCAACTTGAAAGGTGAACAGCATGAAGCACAACTCTGGATGGATATACTCAAAGAAATAATTTAACTTAATTGCTTCAAAACTTTAATCCCTTTACACAAGTACATACACAAAGAGGCCTTTATTGTAGATAAGGCTGTAAGGAAGAATGTACAAATTTGAGAGTATAACATTTCTCGACAGAGACAATACTATGGGATTGCAGTAACCAGCTCATCCAGAATTTATTTTCAAAGATTCTAGTTGACGTCACCTTTAGATAAAATTGAGGGCTGTTTAATTTGTTTGCAGAATATCTAAACTCCAACAATGTGTAAAAGCAGCGCTGCCAAGGAACCTGCGTCATGGTGTCAACCAGTTCCACTGAAAGTCTGACTTTACAAGTGAAACTTCCTTCGACTTGTATCCATTTCATGACGCTGAGGAGAGAGAAAAGCAACACAGGTCAGTGACAGCATACAATAAAACACTGTATACACTCAGTATGTGACAGGTAAATCTCCTAGTCCCAGTTTGTGGATTCATTCCTCAACTAAAAAAGGGTATTAAACACCTCCGCTCAGCTAGTTTATACATTGCACATTTTTGTATTCTATCCAACAGTTGAAGGACTTATAGCACTGTGGAGCTGATGAAACAAGTTCCCTTTATCCATTCTTGAACCACTGGAGCATAATAATGTGAAACACTAACATTTCAAATGTGTCTTCAATGGCCGTACTTGCACCAACTTTCAAGCTTTAATCCCAGGAGGCTCAAATGACCAAATTATTTTGAACAATATACATGACCATAATTCAGACCACAGTGTTGATAGCAGCAAGTTTTCAAATCCTTACCCCCACATTACATAAAGTGACACAATGAAGTAATTTACATGATCAAATGTACTATAACCCTTACACAGATATTCTCAATATCTTAAATTACATTTACAGCAACTTATTGACAGTGATTGGAGGCGGCAGACAGATCATTAAAAGGATCAATTTGATTACAGGATTAAAATTAAATGCAAAATAACATTTGCTAAACCCTTCCAAACAGACTAGGTCATAGTAAATGTTGTCCAAGCCATAAAAGAAATCTCGATGGCTGACCTTATGAACCCATTCATATTCTCCATATTTTGAATCAAAGGTCCCTTTCTGTAAAGATCTCAGTTTCAGTGTGAAACGTGGTCCAAGTTCCTGAAGGCCCACTTTCTTCTCATTTTTAAATATGTACCTTTAAAACAAAAACAGTTAGCATCAGGCTCTAACTCACTCCAGGTATCAGTTCAGCACAGTTCCTCCAGTGGAAACAAGTGCACTAGACAGGTTCTTGGGAGGAGGGGATGAGCAGAGTCCTGTTTTACTCCTTCACAAGATGTGAGCATTACTGGCTGAGCCCACATTTTACTGCTCATTCCTAACTGCGCTTGACAAAATAGCAGTGAGCTGCTTCTTGAATTGCTGCTATCCGTAAACAGTAGGCCGACCCTAAATGATGGAAGGGGGTTCCAGGGTTTTCACACAGTGACTGCAAGGGAGCAGCAATATTGTCAAGGTGGTGCATAATACGGAGGTGAAAGTTTAAATAAAATAATTTACAGAGTATTGGATCACTCGCCTCTCTCTCTCTCTCTGTCTAGACCCTAGAAAGTTCTTAACATCTTATAGGATGTGGGCGTCACTAGCACAACCAGCATCTGTACTGGGAATTAAAGGGTTACGCAGAGGGGGCAGGAAAGTGAACCTGAGGCCAAGATGCGATCAGCTATGACCGTATTAAATGACACAGCAGGCTTGAGGGGCTGAGTTGCCTAGTTCTCCTCCTAGTTCTCATATTTTTATCACCCATCCAGTGCAGTGGGTGTATTTACACCCCATTGTTAGGAACACAGTACAACTTTAATTTACATTTTGCATTTTTTCCTTAAGAGGCAAACATGCTTTTAGTTTTAATTCTGAGTCTTTCTTGTGAGCTTGGTGCTGAAACGTTTGGAAGTCTGTCGCATTGACATTTTCGATGAGGTTTTATAACCTGTAACGTGAAGAGACACGGTTAAGTAGTTCAATGGAAAAAGTGGAAAAAAATGGTGTTATTGCCTAACGACAGGTGCAGGGTCATGCAAAAATCCAAAAGGGAGCCTGTCAATTTGTATGTGTGTATACCAGACAGTGGCAGCTTGAGTGTTAAAAACAAATCCTATAACAGCTGAAAACTTCTGCTCTTCGATTAAAGTAATAGTGAGTTTAACTCGGAGTTTATTGCAGGAGTCTGAGAGATAACAGCTGAAGAAAAAGCATCAAAAGAAATTACCTGAAAGAAGCCTTTTGCAGCTGTGCCAGCCTGAGTAAGGACTCAATGTGGAAACAGAATAAATCTTTGTTGGGTTCGGTATTTATAAGTATATTATTGGGACAAAAGGAATTGATGATTAATAAAAGGTACATAATTCTTTGAAATTTGAGTCATATAGGCAGGGTGGTTACGGCAGCATTGGCATGCTTGCCTTCATTGCTCAGACCTTTGAGTATAGGAGTTGGGACATCATGTTGAAGTTGTACGGGACTTTGGTGAGGTCTCTTCCAGAGTACCGTGTCCAGCTCTGGCTTCCCTGTTATAGCAAGGATATAATTAAGCTGGAGAGGGTTCAGAAGAGATTTACCAGAATAGGCCAGGCAGCGTCAGGGGAGCAGGAAGGCTGACGTTTCAGGTCTGGACCCTTCTTCAAAAATGGGGGAGGGGAAGGGAACTCTGAAATAGAGACAGTGGGGGAGGTGGATGGAAGTGGAACTAGGAGCAGATAGGTGGACAGGAGACGGACAGGTCAAGGAGGCGGGGATGGAGCCAGTAAAGGTGAATGTAGGTGGGGAGTTAGGATGGGGGTTGGTCGGTCAAGGGAAGAGGGGCCGGTCAAGGGAAGAGGGGCCGGTCAAGG